CCCTTGGGTGGTGAACTCGACTTTTCAAAGTTTTCAGCAATTTTATTAAGTCACTTTAGTTGCAGATGCTGCAGCCACCATGCTTGCAGTATTCCTGCTTGGTTGCCGGTTTTATCTTCTTAACCGAAATGCTGTCTTTACCCATTTGCTGCTGGTGATCTCCGAAACAAACGGATTGACCTCCTGAATCTCCGCAAGATGATCCGTTTGATGTCGCGGTTCTTGAGATGACTGAACACAAACAATTGCACAATTGTTCCCAACAATTATTTTCTATTTTCTTACTTCGTCGACTGGAATCTGAAGTGCTGGCGGGTCCGTACGAAGCAAATCGAACGCCTGTTTTCAGCAGGTGCTCCTGGTGGTGCTTCCGGAGGTGTCGGTCTTGGTGGACGAGTCCTGCGCGTTCGTCAAGCACGAATTTACCGCCAGGTCCTGGTGATGATGTTATGAGCCAGTAGGCTTCGTGTGTCGGGTATGTGTCTGCCTACTGCTGTTCCTATGCGGCCCCATGCACCTTCCTCGTTAATAACCTAAATAAAATGTTAATGTTAGGTACAAATATAAGAAACTACAATTAAGCGAATAATTCTCGGATGACTTTTAAATTTCAGAAATTGGCCTGTGCGTTTTGAGGAAAACGTCGAAGAAATTTAAAATTTGACTCGCATATTTGGACATTGCCTAATGCATCAAAAACACAGTTATTATTACTGGCTGCATGTCTGCATTCGCATGAAATTTAGCGTATATAACTGGAGATTTTTAATATAATTGTCATTTATTTTCAGCTTTTTGTATTCGTGTCATTAAAAAAAGGCTTTTATATACTATATATGGTACGATTATTAACTTCCCGAAGGAGAAGTTTATGTTGTCATAAAAAAATCTGATTCGCTAATTTTATGTTTCACGGTGTTTGAAGTTATTCTGAATCGAATGAGATCAAATTAGGAAAAAGTATGTGTGTGTGTATGGGAGTGTATGTGTATTGGAGTGCATGTGTGAACAGATTTTTAGCCTTTTTTCGACGATTATTCAAAAATGACTGGACCGATTTCAAAAATTTCCAAAAACCATTCGAAGTATCTCGATGAGGACTAGTGTTTCTCAGTTTTATGGGACGATCAGTTAGCCATTTCTAGTGATTAAAAGAATTATGAAAAAAATAGTCCAAGTTTTAGCCAAAATTCCGAATCGATTTAAAATGATTCAAAACTCTCGAAAGATATTAACTTCCGTAGTAATCGCAAAAAAAATCGACAATGAAATTTGGTACCGTGATGTGATTTTGTACCTTTTAGCGTACACATACAAAATTGATGTATGTGTTTGTATTTTGGGTGTGTGTGCGGATACAAATTTTTGTCGACGATTTCGGGACCGGAACGAATCAACCGATTTGAATAATTTAATAAATTTGGTCGCAAAGCGTTTTTAGATTAATTCAAAAAATATTTTTGCTTGAGTAGACGGTGTGCAAAAATGCTTTTACAGAAAATTTCGTAGTTTTACAAATTTTAAAAAAAATTCGAAGTTTCAAAAAACTAAGTTTTCAAAATTTTCATTTTCAAAAAAAAACTAAATTTAAAAAAACTCAAAAATGACCAAATTAATAAACAATGGATTTCTTACAAAAATTTCATATTCGAATTTTTCAAAAAAATCGAATATTTCAAAAATTTCCAAATTCTCAAAAAAATTTAGAAAAAACTTTTTTTTAAAATCCAAGAAATTTAAGATTTCAAAAATAATTCAAAAAAAATTCTAAATTATCTATTATTAATACATTTATAGTAACATTAATATATACCTATATCATAATAAATAATATCAAGGACTACATATATGATATAATTATAAATAATCGTGTACTTGAAAAAATTCATCTAAATATCTAAATCTCAATTCGTTGATTAAGTCAATTATAACACATTCAAGGTAAAATACCAATACCAACAAGTCTTAATTTTAATTCAAATACTTACATATTCTCTGATGAAAATTTCTTCGCCTTCATGAACAAAACATCTGATGGCAATTTCAGAGAAGGACCTCGCATCGCCCTTTGTGGAGCAAAAACACCTCTCTGGCTAATGATGTAGCGATGAGATTGTTTACGACCCCTGAAACAACAAGAAATTTACATAATTTCTGCAATTATTGATTTATCATTAGGGAATGAAATACCGATGAAAAATTTCAATACCGGTAATTCGGTAATTTGTCATTTTAAAACCGGAATACGGTAAATTACCGGTATTTTTATTATCTTAAACAAACGTGAACAAAATTGAAAGTCACTAGTACAAATATAAATAAATGTGTATACAACTATATTCAACTAAACAATAAAAACAATAAAATAAAACAATAAATTTATTTTTTCAAATAATATGAGTAATTTAACAAAATTATATCCAATTTAATTAATTCATTATCACTATCGAGTATATTGAGTACTTTTCACCAAAAACAAACTTATGAGTAAGAAAGACCAAAAACTCATAAAAGATCATATTACATTATTATAATAAACTGTATGTGTTAAATTAGCGTAATCTCCAATATTAAAAAAAAAAAATTTTTCTACACTAATTTAAGATCGGATATTTTGTCGAGATAAATAACAAGATAATATCATTGTTGAGTATTGTTATTTAAAACAATGTGATGCATCTATAGTATTTTCAAACTTCGAAACGTTTTCGAAAAATAATATTTTACAATTGTAATAAGAAGCAAACATATTTAGTAATTATCATAATTATGTTTAAAGATAGAAAAAAACAAAGATTACGCAGGGGTAATCTGTATGATAAAATATTTTGGTGCAAATATCACTTGAAAAACCGTTACATTTTATATAAGATGTAAACAAACATCATTATCTAGCAGTCCAATTCTATTTATTGTAACACGATATGAAGCCTTTAGTAAAGCAATAAATATTCAATTTAATGACGAGTTGAGATAATATTTGACATTTGTTTATCCTATAGAATCACTTGAAGATATAGGTGTTAATGAGATTATGAAATCTATATATAAAAAATGGATCGCAAAAATGTCTTGGTAAGCGCATAACTCAACAACGCCTGGACCAATTTGGCCAATTCTTTTTTTAAAATGTTCGTTGATGTCCAAGGATGATTCTTACGGCGAGAAAAAATCGAATAATCGCCAGGAAAACCCTAAAAACAGCCCTTTTCTTTTTTACGTGCAAACGTTTTCTAACTAAAACGTACAATCAATTTGGGTTTCATTGCTATTATATAAAATTCATATTAAATTACAAGCACTCACTGTAAACTCCTCCTAAACGATGATTCGGATTTTGATAAGTTTTTCTGAAGTTTGTTAAGGAAATTTTCTAGAAGGTATTGATTATAAATTACTGGGATTTATGTGCAATATTGTAGAAATAAATGAAAAAATTGCAAAAAGCGACATGTCATTGTTTGCATTGAAACAAATGAAAACTATCATCTGCCAAAAAATTCCAATTTACTTATGAAACCTAGACAATATTAGAATATGTATAATAAATTTATGATTATGAATAAGAAAATTGAAATGTGTGTAATATTATTGCCAAAAACAGCTGATATGAACAGAATTAAAATAATTTTGGGAAAGTAAAGATGAATACATACAATTCGGCCTTACGATAATAATTAGGAGAAGTTTAAGATACATTTTGGATATCTTAAATAATATCAAATTAAATTAATTTAATCCAATATGAAGTAACAGTGTTATGTTATGGTTATGGTTATGTTATACCGTTTAAGAGACTTCAATTTCCAATATAGTGTGAGAATTGGCTTATCATTTTATATAAATGTATATGCGTTTTGGCGTGAAGAGTAATTTAAAAAACAATAATTATTATTTTTGGGTAAATGGTAAATATTAGTATATTATATTAAAAAATTGAGGGCATAGGTACAGGACAACGTCTGTCGGGTCATCTAGTTTAAAGATAAATTTGTTCCGAGAAATTTTAAACTTTAGTGTATTATGTATCAAATAAGCTTATGTAAAATACCGAAAATACCGGTTTTTTGGGGTAAATATCGGTAAAAATACCGCCGAAAAATCGGGCGGTTTACCGGTAATCGGTATACCGGTATAGCATTCCCTATTTATCATTAAGCAATCTATCCCTTACCCTTTGGGTGCACTCGTCGACGCTCCAGGCAACTCGGGTGAATTTGCATCGATCATCAATCGATCTCCTAATCCTGTCGATTGATGTGCGTGATGGACAGATACAGGTGTCAAAAAGCACCCTGGAATAATGTCTGTTGAATTGTAGGCACCAGGCTTCCTGGACATCTGGAGCACAATAAGCAAGCATTGTGTCTGGACTCAGGCGGACCCATACACCATCATCGTTGTGAATCTGAAGAAAAAAATTGATAAATTGATACATTGATATACTAATAATAATTACTAGTAAAGTGAGTTATCCATATGTTTTCCGTTGTATATTACTCAAGTGTGACGTAACATATCTGAGCGAACATTGCCGACGATAATCGCGGACTCTACTGATTGATCAAATGTCACATGTCGTATGTTACGTGCCTAGCGAGCCTTGCAATATATAAACCGATTTTTATAGGTGGATTCGATTTTATGTACATTTATATCACAGGAAAAATATTATCAATATCATTTCTTACAAAATTATCAGCCATCATCTGACATTTAATCAATCTGTGAGTCCGCGATTGTCGTCGGCAATGTTCGTTCAGACATGTGACGTCACATACCCTTCTTTGTTGAAATATTTACTATGATATACAATATGTATGAACATAAAGTTTAATAAATATGAAAAATCCAATTTTATAAATATAAAATATGATACTAAAAAAAATTAAATCACGCGAGGATTTCATCCGAGGACTCAACCGAATCATACAACTTCATCCGACTTGCAATAGTTACAATTATCCATAAAAAATCTTATATATAAATATTAGTGGCTACTAATAAATATCGATGTAGAAAATGCAAAGAACTCTACTGACGAGTAAATTAAATTGCAAAGTATAAAATGAAAATGGACTCTACTAACGAGCAAATTAAATTGCAAAGTGTAAGGTAAAAATAGACTCTACTGATGAGCAAACTTTAAATTTGATCTAGAAGTTAAAAAAGGGACTCTACTGACTTTAAAATTAATCTAGATTATGAAAGAGAGACCTTACTTACATGCTAACTTTTAATTTTGATTTAGAAGATAATGGATGGGACTCTACTGACAAATTCAAATACTGGCAAATATACTGACAAGCTATATATAAGATAAGAAATAAGATATATAAATAAGATAAGAAAAGAACTCTACTAACAGGCAAAATTTTTAATTTCGATATAGAAGATGATAAAATAGACTCTACTGATGAGCAAATTCAATGACGAACTATAAGATAAAAAAGGTACTGTAGTGACGAATTAATTTTAATTTTGATCTAGAATATAAAGAAAGGACTCTACTGACAAGCAAATTGTAGTTTTGATCTAGATTATATAAAAAGAAACTCTACTGACGAGCAAAATTTAAAATTAATCTAGATTATAAAAAAAATCTACTAGAAGATGATAGAAAAGACTCTACTGACGAAGAAATCCAATGACAAACTATAAGATAAGAAATGAATTCTACTGGCAAGCAAAAATTCTAATTTCGATCTACTAGATGATAAAAGGGACTCTACTGACGAACAAATTAAATTGCAAAATAGAAGATGAAAAATAAATTTCATTGAAAGCTATATTAATTCTGATATAGAAAATGAAAAATAGACTCTACTGACGAGCAATTTAAATTATGAACTATAAGATAAAAAAGAGACTCTACTGGCAAGCTAATTTCAATTTTGATATAGAAGAGCAAAAAAAGGAATTTACTGACAAGCAAAATTAATTATCAATTAGAAGATAAAAGGGACTATACTGAGGGAGCAAACTTCAATTTTGACTAATTTTAAGAAAATAAAAAGAACCCTGCTAATGAGCAAACTTCAATTCTTATCTAAAAAATGATAAGGATTCTGCTGACGACCAAATTTTAATTTTGATAAAGAAAATAAAAAAAGGAATTCTACTGGCGAGCAAACTTCAATTTTGGTCTAGAAGATAAAAAAGGAACTCTACTGATGAGCAAATTTAAATTGCGAATTCTACGATTAAAAGGGACTCGACTGTCGAGCAAACTTTAACTTTTATCAAGAATATTAAAAAAGGGACTCTACTGACGAGCTGACTTCAAATTTTATTTAGAAGATCATAAAAGGGACTCTACTGACGAGCAAACTTCATTTAACTATAACTTTGATCTAGAAAACGAAAACGACTCTACTAATGAGCAAAGCAAATTATAAACTAGAAAACAAAACAAAACTGCTGACAAGCAAAATTTAATTTCATCGCAAATGAAATATCCATCTAACAATGAAAAAGACTCTACTGATGGGCAAATATTGAATTTGAATCAGAAAATAAAAAGGGACTCTACTGATGAGCAACTTAAATAACAAACTATAGTATATAAAAGGAAATTCCATTGACGAACAAACTTTAAAATTGATCCAAAAGATACAAAACCAAATTATAATTAAAATTAAATTATTTTTAATATTTCACAAAAGGGTAAACTTGGTTTCGTCATTACATTACGTTCATAATTATTAAATGTATTTTTTATATATAATAAAAACAGATTGTAATTGAATCTTGAGAAATAAAAAAATAGATATATAGTATCTATGATTTGACAATCAATGCCAAATCATTACTTCGTCTTGTATATTGGTCAAACTCAACATTAATTATCATAAATTTTTAACATATATACTAAATAATCGATTACTAAGAAATCGATGCTTATGTGTGAATATTTTATTTAAGTTTGATTCCAGGTGATTCGAATCAATTTTTTTTCCTAATTCGAATTAGGAAATTTTCGTGTCGTCAACTTTACTAATAATATTATGTTTATGTTTAACATTTCTTTACCTCGTCTACAAATGCAATGGTCTCATCGCACTGGACAATAGCCAATTGTTCGCTCTGCAAAGAAGGATGTGCCCTGATCCTTAGCCCTGCACTCGGTCTGCACGTGAAACGCAGCAGACGTTCTGCAGGCGCATCTGGTGGAATTGTGGGAGGAACCGCCGGACGTCTCGGCGGAGGCGGTGCTGTTCCTGCAGGAGGCGCTAGGACTCGAACTGTGATAGACTGAAAAAATTTATTTATAAATCTCAGATTAATTACAGTGGCGGATTAAGCTTTCTGACGCCCTAAGCCCTATCTGATCAGGCGCCCTTTTTAATAGACAAATTTTTACTTTTTTAATTAACCATAATATTATTATAAAGACATTTACAGACATTTCTGAACATTTTGGCATACCTTAAAAAATGGATGTGTATGTTTTATTCCCATAGATAAGAAAGTTCTGATTAGTTTTTGGCAAGTACAGGTCAAGTCGTTTGGAAAATGCAGAAAGTGTAAAAAATTCGAATTGCATTCGAAAATCTTGATTGGAAATCGTATTCATTAGTTTTTGGTAAAAACCGGCCGGGTCGATTAGGTTTGCGAAACGATCGGCCAAGCCGGTTGTTTAAAATTAGCATAAAAAAGCAAAAATATTACGTTTTTGCAATGAAGACAGAAACCGATTTTAAAAATTGAAAAAGGGTTTCTGAAAGATACCAATAAGAAGTCAAAAGATTTGACAATTTTAAAACTTCATTAAAGTTTGATAAAATTTCATAGTCAAAATTTGTGTTAAAAGTCGCTTTTGTGATGTGATGAATCAAAATTTAATTTTCAAAAACGCCTGAACAGATTTCACAAATTAAAAAGTCATTGGACTAAATTCGATAACTAGAACCGAGACATTCAAAAGCTTCGTGTTTTTTTAATTTTAAAATAATTCAATTATTTGAATTTTAGGTATTTCAATTCTCTCAAAATTTTGAAACCAGTGTACTCGCCTTTTCGGAAAACTAATTATTTCTTCATACCATTAAAATACCACGAACAAAATATTTTTTGAGTCATTAGAATCGGATGATCTGTACTCTCAAAACCTTCATGACCACTTTTGCACCTTCTGCGCTCTGCATCTCCAAAAAGGCTAAACCTGCCTTTGGCATAAACAGTACGTTTTACGGTCAAAGCGAATCGAATATTTTTTGAATCATTCATGTCGATTGATCCTTGCAAAGGACACTTGAACTCTCTAGTAAACTTTAAAAGTTAAAAATCTTGGTACGGAATGATTCAAAATAATGAAGACAAAATTTGTAATAATTCTTAAATTTTTATTATATATCTGATAATTTGATGTCCGTATGTCCGATGATCAATTTTTACCACCAAATGACACTTTTTTTGGATCACCAAAAACGCTGACCATGCTCTCGCAACATTTTCGATAGTTCTTTATTTCGTCATACAAGTAAAATGAATTACTTGAATGATTGTCTTGAATTCAAATCGAACGCTCTGTTTTTGAAAAATTGAATTGGCATTTTTTTAACTCTTCGCCCTCTATTCCGAAATGGATGGAACTGTCTTTGCAAAAAACTAATCAGCACGTCTTTCCGACATTATAAATCGAATGTCAATTGGCAAAAAACTGTAACCGCACAAACACATGCATACATCCATTTTTTCTAAGATATGTCAAAATGTTCAGGAGATCTTGAAGCGTAGAGATACATAAACAATTTTATTTACGATTTATTGGGATTATTATAACTTAGCCTTCCTGAAGTTGAAAAAATGCCAATTGGAGGAAGCATACCAAATTCAGATATTTTTGTTTACGATTCTGTTTTATACTACAGGCTTATTTAAAAAAAAATATTTGCATAAACAAACAAAAAATAAATTTTAACATATTAACCTAATAAACAACAATTAATATATTATGTTAATTCACCATGGTTTGATTTAATACCAAAAATGAAATAAGAATCCATTGAACAATTTTTAAAGCGTTTTATATATAGATTCACCTTAACAAAATTACAAAAAAAACGAACAGATTTTCAATACTTTTCCAAAAAAGCTTATCAGTTTGATAAATATTGGATTAAATATGATACATCAAGAAAAATATCAATGCGGAACCAACGAATAATAAATTTGATTACAAAACGCATTACGTTCTATTTCATATATGATGATGAATGATCTCTAAATTTACAAAAAAAGTTTAGGATCTATCCTTAAAATGAATTGTCGTGACGTTTTATCAAATTTAAAATTTTAACATTCTGAAAAATTTGCCGCCCCCAAATTGTGCCGCCCTAGGCCCGGGCCTAACGGGGTAATCCAGCACTGGTTAATTATATGAATTATTTACTATCAATCCTTTATTACTTTAGGCAATGGATATCCATCCACGGTAGCCTGAAGAGTGTAGTCACCCACTGCAGTTGGCGTCCAGGTTCCCGCATACGCGCCCAGAGTCTTGACAGCCGTGACACGAACCGTCTCGCTCGTCGGACACTGCGACGCCGCGCGGCCGGAATAAGAAGCAGGGCCGGTCGCCAGGCGTAATTCTTCGAAGGAGTAATTCGAGAAAGCCTAGAGAGAACAGAAAAATAAAAAAAAAAATATATAATATATTTTTTTTATTATTTTATTGATTCCTCACCTTCATAATGGTGATGCGTTTGAAGACACATCTTGTCCCTGACGGTTGGCTCGTATTTGGCAGCAGGCGGAGGAGGATGTCCTCCGAAAGTGGTTTTATCAACAAATGCTGATGGGGCAGTAAAATTTGAAGAGTTGGCTTCAGGTTGAGGGTCGCCCGTGGTGGTGGAAATGTCCACATTTGGTCCAGCATCTACGGGAATTGCCTTCAAGGTAACCTGGGAATAGGAGATACACACATTTAAATAAACACATTTGTTATTTTAATTTTATATTATATATATATATATATATATATATATATATATATATATATATTGGGTCATCTAGCATATATATACTAGATAAACCAGCAAACGTTTTTTAGTCATAAAAAATATTTCTAGTATAAAATGTTTAGTACAAAAATAACTAACTGATAGCAAATGTGGTGCATAAGTGAAAGGAGCGCCTAACAAAAAATATATGAATAGTTTTTCCACTGCAAATCATGCCACATACAAATGTTCCTCCAATAGTCTTTGCAAGAGCCAACCTAATCTGAAACTGGTTCCACTTACATTGAATTGGCGCATTTAAAGATTTTGGTATATTATTACCATGCTTTTTATCAATTTAGTAATTTTTGAATTACGAAGCAAAATCCGAGTATTTATTTTTAAATTATATTGTTATGTGGCATGTCCAGCGATTTGACTGAGATTAAAAAAATTGAGATAGTGGAACATTATATAGCTTTGCCATAGATTTATATGGTACCTATAGTTTCCTATCAAAAACTGTTGTATCTTCAGATTTTAATATTCAATCTCTATTTTTTGCAAAAATTGCTTTTTAAGCAAACTATTTATCAATTATATACTGTTTGTGTGCATCGGAAAATGTTTGTGCAATGAGAAAATGTAAAGGGTGGTCAACTCTTGTTAAATTAAATTGTTTTTTTCTAAATTAAATTTATGCTTTATCATAATGTCTAGAAAATATGAATTAAAATTCAGTAAAAAACACTAATTGATTGAAAGCATATTGATGAATTATTTGATTACTTGAATGGCTACGATTTGCGGAAGGAGGGTGAAAATTTAGAGTTGTGTGCATTTTGTAATTCTGCATTATGAACATTAAACTTAGAAGAAAATTCATTCACAAATTTAAAGAAAAAATTAGAGATAGACGATCCTTGATAAAAATAAATAGTATTTTGAAGTAAAAAAAAATTAAAAGAATTACAATAAAAAAAGACCTTACGAGTGAAAAAATGTATTAGGATTGGACAACCCTTAATAAAAATAAATTGTTTTTTGAAGTAATATTCAACCATTTTCATATGATTAAAAAAATATTAACTAAAATTATGTCAGTAAATAGGACAATTCAAAATTGAAAGAAAATAGATTACAAAATTATTAAAAAAAGGGTGGACAATCCTTGATAAAAATAAATAGTTCTTCAAAGTAAAAAAAAATCTCAGAATTAAAATAAAGAGTCAAATGTTGAGGGTAGGCAATCCTTATTAAAAATAAATAGTATTTTGAAGTCAAAAAAATTAAAAAAATTACAATAAAAAATTGACCTTATAAGTAATAAAACGTGCTAGGGTTGGACAACTCTTAATAAAAATATCATTTAAGCATATTAATAAACCCAAAAAAGTCTTAACTAAAATTTTGTCAAAAAAGGTCAAATTAAAATTGAAAGAAAATTAATTCCAAAATTTACAAAAATAAATGTGGACAACCCTTGATAAAAATAAATAGTTTTTCAAAGTAAAAAGAGTTTTATTTTATGTATTTAACAATTTCAAATTATATAAAACTAATATCAAGAAAATTGGTCTCAAAATTAGAAAAAAAATGTTAGGGGCACACAACCCTTGATAAAAATAAATACAATTTTGAAGTAAAAAGTGTTATATGTATTTTAAAATTCCGCATTAAAAAAATTACAATAAAAAAAATTTACCTCAAAAGTGAAAAAATGTGTTAGAGTTGAACAACCCTTAATAAAAATAAGTTGTTTTTTAAAGTATCATTTAACTATCCGAACCTTATCCGACAATAAGGGTCGAAACAGGTAAAAACTGATTATTATGGAACGGGAGTCAGTTATGTTTGAACCGCCAACAAGCACAGATTAAAAATATCAACACCTAATAATGTAAGATACAATTTAAAATAAAATCTATAAATCTTAAAAAGTGTTTGTTTTTACATATCAAGAAGAGAACCAATAATTAATATCTCTTCAACTAATATACTAATATATGATATTAAAATTTGATAAAAATCCTTGAAACCTTTCGTAGAAGTACGATAACTAACACTATGACTATTAATATTTTCCCTTACCTTTAAATCCGGTGCATAAGCCAAATCCCCGTACTGGTCCCTCGTGACAACCGTGATCAGGCTAGTCCACCCCTGTTTCAGTTCCTCCCGATTCGGTTCTTGTACGTAGCACAGGGCCGGACAGATCCTGGGCTCCGGCTGCAGCCAGGCTGCCAATCTTGCTCCGCTCGAGGTGCAGGCGTTGAGTCTGACGTCGGCCTGATCCGAACCTGCAGAAGGCGCATCTTCGGCGTCGTCGGAGATGAGAGGAGACGGAGTCGGGCCGGTGACGAAGTCGCGGAGGAATTGGCGGCCGTTGGATCTTGTACTAAAAAGCAATAGTAAAAATTGTTAGAATCTTATTATCATTTTGGTATGCTATAAATTAAAAGTATTCCTATTTGCCTGTGGGAATCAAGTGAGCTAGAAAAGAATTGGGAGAGAAAACAAATGGTCGTGACATGACATTTGTAAAGTGTTATAATAACAAAATTTAATATGAATAATATTTTTATAGAGATATCTTTTTATATATTTATTCATTTCCATATGTCACTTTCATCTAGTTTTTAATTGTAACGAAATGGCGACAGAAAATCACATCACTTTATTATTATCTCCAACGTTACTAATTTACGTATTATCTTTACTACATTAATTTTTGCAAGATCTTTTTGTCCTACATCAGACCAAGCACGGCTAGTTCATTCTATTTCTTCAACTTTCCTTAGGGTAAGTTATAGTAATCGCAAAAAAATCTAAAATGAAATTTTTCATATATCTTTACGTTTCACAGGTTTCTGAACATTTTAGCAAACCTTAGAAAAAATGGATGTATGTATGTGTGTACGGATACAAGATTTCGTCGACGATTTCGGGAACACGGATCAACCGATTTAAAGGATTCTCAATAAAAAAAAGTTAGAAAAATGCCATTTGGCGGTCAAAAATGATTATTAGACACATGCACATTAAATTATCAGATATTTTATAGAGATTTTAATAATATGTACACATTTTGTGTAAATTTTGTTTTGGGTTCCGTACCAAGATTTTTATTTTGAAGTTTATTTATATAGTTCAAACAAATGTCCTCGACATTTTCTACAGTATGGAATAATTTGATTTGTATGATTGAAAAATCATTCGGTTCGTACTCGATCACTAGGCATTTTTGCAAAAGGTAATTTCGCCGTTTCGGAGGTATGGAGCGCAAAGGGTGTGAAAATGGTTGTGCAATTTTTGAGAGAACGGATCATCCGATTACAATAATTCAAAAAACCTTTTGCTTGTGTAGACGGTGTAAAAAAATGTTTTTACAAAAAAATCGTAATTTTGAAAATACTCGGAAAAATAATAATAATAAATAAAAAAAAATTCAAAATAAAAAGTTTCAAAAAATTCAAATTTTCAAATTTTTTTATTATTTTCAAAAAATAAATCGAAATTTTGAAGATTTTCAAAAATATCAAAATTTTAACAAATCCAAAAATTTGAAAATATTTCAAAATTTTCAAAAAAACGAGTTATTCAAAAATTTACACATTCTCAAAAAATTGAAAAATGCTTTTATAAAAAATTTCGTAAATTTTTAAATTTAAAAAAAAATACAAAATTTCCAAAATAAAATAAAAGTTTCAAAAAACTCGAATTTTCGAAATTTTTCATCATTTTCAAAAAAATAAATCGAAATTTTGACAAATTTAAAAAAATATCAAAATTTTAAAATATCGATTTGTTACAAAAATTTGAGAATATTTCGAAATTCTCAAAAAAATTAAAAAATCGATTTTTTCTAAAATTTCTAAGAATCTCGGAATTTTAAAAAATTTTCAAAATTTTGAAAAAATTCGAATAAAAAAAATTGAACAAATTTCTTGTAAACATATACACAAGTTTTTTGTAGAATACGCTCGTCGTCCAATATAATAATGAACTAGCTGTAAGTGGAATTCTGTCTTAAGGCAATTAGGGCATCGTGCCTAAGGCAAATTGCTGGAACTTCCCGTACCAAAAATTATTATTTTATTAAAAACGATTAACATTTTGAAAAAAATTTAATTCGAAATAATTAGATTTTTGAGAAACTAGGAATATGACAAAAAATTACTTTTTTTTGAAAAAAAAATTTTTATTTGAAAAAAAATATTTTTTTTTGAAAGAAAATTTTTTTCCTTTGAAAACATACTATTTTTTTGAAAAGAAAAATGTTTTCTTCATTTTGACATATTTTGGAAATTCTGAACTTTTTTTCAAAGCAATCGTACTGCTTGAACTGCATAGAGACGAATTGTCACAGCGCAAGTGCCGCGCCGCCGTCTAACGCATAAACATTGGTACGGAACCCATAGGAATGTAAACCAAATTTATACTTATTGTTAAAATCTCTATAAAATATCTGATAATTTGATGTGCATATGTCTAATCATCATTTTTAACCGCCGAATGGCATTTTTTTTTACTTTTTTCATTAGATCTCCGAAACCGCTAGACCTGCCTTCATGAAAATTTGATCAACTCTTCATCTTGCCAATACAAGTAAAATGTTTTTTGAATTATTCAAATCGGACGTTCCGTTCTCTTAAAAACTGAGTTACCGTTTTCGGCACTTTTTGCCCCGTATCTTTGGAACGGCTAGACCTAACTTCGCCAAAAACTAATCAGCACGTCTCCTTATCAGTACAAATCGAATGTTTTTTGAATTATTCAAATCGGTTGATCCGTGTTCCCAAAATCGTCGACGAAAATTTGTATCCGCACATACATACACACACATACATACACACACACACACACACACACACATACATCCATTTTTTCTAAGGTATGCCAAAATGTTCAGAAACCTCTGAAACGTAAAGATATATAAAAAATTTCATTTTCGATTTTTTTGCGATTACTATAACTTACCCTACGGGAAGTTAAATATAAATTCACAGTATGTATTTATAATAAATAATCTATTTGAAATTATTTAAGACAATTATTGATTATTTTCATTCCTCGAATGTTTAATTACGGTACAAGAAGTTCCAGTAATTTGCCTTAAGGCACGATGCCATAATACACCACTAGTTTAATTATTGTAATGACATTGTTTACTTATATCACTTTGATATTATCTCCAACATTAATAATTTAAGTATTATCTCTATTACATTAATTTTAACAAGAACTTCTGGTCCTACATATCAGACCATACACAACTAGTTCATTGTATTTTTTTATTTATTTAAACAGTACAAAGTTTATAGTTCATCATTCATCAAACTTATATTATAATATAAACAATAAAATCTTGTGATTAATAGAACTATTGTCTATATATTGTGTATTTGCTCATCGTTATCTATTTTAAGATTAATATTAGTGTCCACGGTTTATTTATTACATGTTAACTTATCTCATTAGTATAATATGTCTTTCCAGCCATTCAGACGTCTTTGGTGTAAATATTTATTTAAGACTTCGAATTAAATTAGATCGTGTTCTTAGAACGATTCGTCAGAATTGTAAGAAAAAGGCGATTGAATAAATAATTTATTTACATGCGTTTTTCGTATAAAATTTCATTTTTATTCGATTAATAAAGTACATACTCAAGTATATCTAAAATTGTTATGTAACCGTCCAAATATGAAATTTTTTCCATATCATCACGTTTCAGAGGTTTCTGAACATTTTGGCATACCTCAGAAAAAATGGATGTGTATGTGTAATACACATATACACATACTATGTATGAATATTACATTGGATACAATTTTCGTCGAAGTTTTCGGGAGCACCCCTAACCGGTTTGAATGATTCAAAAAACTTCTGTTTGTTTTGACAAAACAATTGCTTTTGGAAAAAAAATTATTTCAATTATGTAATGTCCATTGACATATTACAACCTGTATGATGATAAGTGGATTTAAGCGGAAACGTATATCACTTCTGCATGATATCTAAATGTAGTTTTATGTCAGTTATTTTAGCAAGTTGCTCATCAGTAGAGTTCTTTCTCTTAAAATTTATTTCTCTTAATTATAAAACGTGCTACAATGCTACAACATTCAAATTTTTTCAGAAAGTTGAGACTCGATATGTTCGTCGTGATTATAAAAAAGAGACTCTAATGACTACAAAAATAAATATCGATCTAGAAAATCAAAAAAAGGGACTCTATTGACGAGCAAACTCTAAATTTGACCTATAAGATAAGAAAGAGACTCTACCGACGAGCAAATTAAATGTCGATCTAGAAAATGAATTTAATTTCGATATAGATCATAAAAAACGGACTACTGACCAGCAATTTTAATTGGAAATTAGAAGGTAAAAAGGACTCTTCTGACAAGTAGTATCATCGCCAACTAATATCTTTCGAACAGTTTTGATTTTTTTAAAATCGATTCGGTAAAATGAGCTTAAATGTGGACTAAAAGTTTGACACTTTTTTTCAAATTACATAGAAACGGCTTGGCAGATAGTCGCACAAAACTGAGAAACGATAGTCCTCATCGAAATACATCAAATGGCTTTTAAATTTCTGAAATCGGTTCAGGTGTTTTTGAGAAAACGTCGATGAAAGATCTAATTTTGACAAATGCCAAAAAAACGACACCAACTTTTTCTTTCAAACTTTGACGAATTTTCAAAGTTAAACCAATTGTCGTAGGGCCGTAATATTTTAGTATGATCTAGAAGACTATAGTATCCACCGTCAAAAAAATAATTATAAAAATCTTCGGAAAATTTTTTTTTAACACTTTATTACAAGAAAACGGCCCGGCCGATCTCTACCAAAAACCACAATTCCCAATCAATATCTTTCGAACGGTTTTTGAATTTTCATAATCGGTTCAAATGTGGTTAAAACGTGAACGATTTTTTTTTACTTTTTGCTATTTATAAAGAAACGTCTCGGCCGATCGTCAAACGATCTGACAAACGATAGTCCTCGTCGAGATACATCGAATGGCTTTTAAATTTTTTTAAATCGGCCCAGCCGTTTTCGAGAAAACTTCGATTTACGGCAAAAAATCTGTTTACACACACACACACATACACAGAGAGACACATACTTTTTCCAAATGTTGGTCTCATTCGATTCAGAATGGCTTGAAACGCCGAGAAACATAAAATTAGCGATTCGAATTTTTTGATGAAAACAAACTTCTCATTCGGGAAGGTAAAAATTAACAATAAAAAACAGGTTTTTCAAAAATGACAATTTTTTAAAAAAATTCCCAAAAATCTAATTTCTTTACAGTATAAATAATTTTCGGTACGAAAACAGAAAGTTCCAGCAATTTGGCCTTAAGGTACGTTGCCATACACCAC